AGATGTGCAGTGTCTGTCTATCTTTATCTGCCTTCTCCCAGCTCTTCCTGACCTTCTGCTAAGACACAAAGACATATTTTTTGTATGTATTATTGCATCGGCCTGATTGTTCTTGTTCTAGAAGATGAGACTTATCTCCAGTTGTGGACAGCTATTTTATTGTTATTGTTATTTCTGGGCACTGAGTCCAAGTTTGTCAGGCCTTTTACAAGAAGCCTTTGTCACCATCTCCGCTTCCACTTTTCTCTTCTGAATTTCAAGGCCGATATCCGTCACATGTGTTGTTGGAGACCCTGACAGTATGGGCTTGTTCGTTTCCTGTGAAATAATTCCTTCTATAGATCAACTGATTACTTTCCCTTACTTTCTGCCTCAGCTATTGATGATGAAAAACTAGCATGTCGTTGCCACTGAGTTATGCATTTCAATGAAGCTCATGTCAAGACCCCTGCCTTGGGTACTCTATAACCAGAATGGCCTGGGCCATGGCCCAGACAGAAGTGTAGGCTAAATAGATTCTTTTCTCAAACATGAGAGCCATATTATTTAGCTACCTTGGCAACAGCCTTCCCTGTCTTCATCAGAATCCAAGTGACTGTTTTTGTCAGCCTCTTATTTTCTTGACCCTGTCACAAATGAACACAAATAGTCATACACCATTTTGATGCGGAGGCACTCTGCTCTCTTGCATCTTGTCTTCCTTTTGTCAGCATAGGTCAGGTTGAATTGAAGCCTGGATTATTTTAGAAAGAAACCCTTCACTAATTGTGTACATGCTTAAATCCCTCAGTTACATGTGTGTAATCTTTACTACTGTACACTTTAGACATTTCAGATCTGAGATTGTTTTGGAACAGTACATGGATCTCTGTGGCAGGGCTCTCCAACACGTCGATCGCAAGCTACCGGTAGCTCGCGGGCAGCTTTTCTGTAGCTCGCGGGCAGCTTTTCAGTAGCTCGCCGCTCGATTATCGATTATAGCGTAGTAAGGTTGCTTCTTGATTTTTCGGCCGTGGCTGGACAATAAGGTTTTTTTATTTTAGAATTGTTTCTGTCACACGAATATCAAATTGGTCGGTGACGCAGAGATCAAGGAACAGACGTGACAGCGGCACAGCGACACCACACACGGAGCAGTCTGCTTTCTCCACCAACACCAGTCCAGAACCAACAGCAGAATGACCCGCTCTGAATCAGGCCCTGTCGCTGCGGCTCAGAGACACACAGGGAGGGATTTGTGTCTTTTGAAAAACACTCGTTATCGTCATGTCAGGTTTTTGGTGGATTTAATCAAGTCTTGGATTGCAGAGTATGAATGTCCTCTTGCTATTTTCAGTTGATAAATACTTGTGTAAAGTTTGTGAAGGCAGGAGGAAAGCTTCCGCGATCACCGTCTCCTCTCCGTTCCTCCAAACCCCGCCCCCTCCCTGAAAATAATGAGTGACAGGCTGATAGTGACCCAATAGAAACTTTAATATTCACTTAATCACTGATTGAGATATGATGAAGCTAACTTAATCTCATAAATTCATGGGATTTAAGTAACAGTAAGACAGAGAATGTAAGTGTGCACCCACATGCACTATTTTTGTTTTTATAATGCTGTTGTAAATACTCCTGTTGTCTGCTGTGTTCAGACTCAAGTCATGTGTGTGATGCCACATTCAAGACATTCAGTGTCTTTTTTTAAACAGAAGACCGTAGCTAGAAGCTGCAGCTAGACTGCAGAAGTATTAGTTTTTAGTTTTTGAGGATGGAACAATTTCACACACAGATATAGGGAGGCTAGACCTATACAATTGATTTATTATGGTTTATAATTTAATGCCAAGACGAAGAAGAAGAAAAAAAAAAAGATGGCTCAACTGTTCAGTGTCAATCATGTGGAGATGGAGATGGAGGTTATAAATCTCCAAGTCTCAGCAAAACTCCCAACATTTCTGGAGCCTTGTAGACCCAGAAAACTATAAGAACATTCACCAAGCAGCACTGAAAATGTCTGCTTTGTTTGGTTCTGTTCTACATACCTTTGTGAAGCAGCTTTTTCTGACATGAATGTCATGAAATCTAAATACAGAACAAGACTGACTGATGAACATGTAAATGACTCTAGTGAACCTAAGTGGGTACACTCCAGCATACACCTCTATGGTGGACTCCATGCAGTGCCATTCATCTCACTGACTGTAAAAAACAGTGAATGCACTTATTTTACACATGTGCCATAAGATGCTTGTCAGGTGGTGATTAAGGACATTTATGTGCATTTTCAGTGAAGTACTTACTATGTGGGCCATAATAATATGTGAGAAATTTTCGTTTTCTTGGACCTTGATGTGAAGTTAAGATTTGTGATAAGCTTTATGTATTGCAATTTCACACGTGTACAAAAGTATAGCTTAATTCAACTGATGAGGGTTATGTGAATAAATGTAAGCGATGTGATGCAAGTAGCTCTTGGCCACTTTCATTTTTTCAAAGTAGCTCTCAGATGAAGAAAGGTTGGAGACCCCTGGTGTAGAGCATCTCAACAGTAAGCTATCCTTATGTTATGGAGCAAATCGGGGTTAGGGTTACTTAATGTTAAATTACATGCAAAAATAGCAGTCAAAACTAAAATAATTTAAGCATTTTTTAGGTTACCTTCTAACCTCAGATTTGCTGTGCTACCCTTCTTTGAATCAACTACCGTTACATATTTATGAAGTTGCAGCACTCAAAACAAACACACTTTATTTTTTTTGGTGAAAAATATTGAATGGAAATCACTTGAAAACGAGGTGTGAAGAAATCTAAATATGAAGCCAAATCATACATTGTTTTTGGTCAGGGTTTGTACTTTGAGAGCAGGTTTATAGAATAGATCTATGAAGAACTTTGTGCTCTTGTAAATAATGTATCCCTTTGAATACAGATATGAATGGTAATGACGAGGGAAAAAAGGGAAGAGAGGGCACAGCAAGCATTTGGGTCCATGTCCCTGGGGAAGGGGCACATTCTGGGCAAGGGGTGCTGGCAGCTCAAGGCCAAAACCGCAATCACCTTCTCGCTGGGCATTTCCAAGCTGACCTCGAGCTGCTCGTTATACTGCCATGCCACAACAACAACAACAGGAAGGAGTACCGGTAGTCATATTCTGAAATCTAGCAGCCAAACTCCATTCAAGTCAAACAATTCTGCTTCGGGTACAGCCCTGAATAAGCCAGAATAAGCTTCAACCATCTGAAACAATAATGTGACAAAACATGAATAAACTAATGGACAAGCATCAACCTAAAATCTTATAATGCTTTTCAAGAAATGATATTCGGATAACAGCTTCCCATTTTATGTTGTCACCTTGAGAATTTCTGTAGATTTCATGCTGGCATGCATGCAGCTTGTTGATTAGAACTGTACAAACACTGAATGCTGATGATCAGAAATGTAATTTAAGTTTCAATCAGCAGGGAGGTGCAGTCTCTCACAATCTTACTCATGCTGTCTCTGTTTTTTGCATACCCTAAGGATTTTCACCTGAACTCACAATATGATTTGTCTTCCTTTTTGTGCTCCTTGTTTGAATCAGAGTTCAAACTTCTCTGTTCTTAAGTTACCCCTACTCTTTCTGACATTCCCTGCACTTTTGTGAGAAAACCTTAGATCTCCAGCATTTGATTTCCAGTAACAAGGACAAAGTTATACTGCTATTTTTTTTATCTTGATTGCCATTCTGTTTTGATTAAATCCAGGTAGGCTCAAAATTAGATTTTTATTCATGAAGCAAACGTGTATTGTTATGCATCACTATCACACAAACCCTGTTTCTTTCATACGCTTTAAAGTTTATATTGATAATATTTTTATATAGACGAATATTAATAAAAAAATATATAAACTCCAAGTTTTTAGAATACGTACTGCTTTACCTAAAGAAGTTACTTTAAATTGGTTGTCTGTTCCAAACTGATTATAAAAAAGGTATTCATAATTGTATCTGTGTAACATATCTGATGCGTTGTTGCTCTCAGTGCTGTTGCTAACAACACTGTTTGTGAGACAATAGTATAACCACACTGGTGTCACAAGGTGTCTCTGTGTCGTCAGCTATCATGAGTATTAGTCGTTTTTATTTAGTGCAGAAATATTTGTGCCTCGCTTCACACCAGTGCCTATCCGTAGTGCTCAGCGAGAATAATAGGAGAAAGACTAGATTAACATGGCCAAGGTGGCACATTGTCTTCTTAACCAGTAAGCTAAAAAAGAAAGGTTGTGTATGGAACAGGCAACCATGTTCTCTAGAATCACAACGACTAAAGGATTATGTGTTTAATGTAAAGACATGCCCTACTTTTGGCGTCATTCTTTTCAAAACAGTTGTCAAATAAAATGTGCATCCAGAGAGATCTTAGTAGCCCAGGCCAGAGTTCATAACCACCTTCTTACAATCAATTTGCCTACATTGTTTAGAAAGAAGTTCAATATTTATAATAAAGAATTATTTTAATAATCCTTATGCTGCCGTGTGTTTCTTGTTGTTTTTGCCATTTGTTTTTTTCTCTCAGAATATTAATCCAGGCCTTTAACCAGTATTTTGGTTGTATAAACATAATTATATCTTTGCATTATCACAGTAGATATATGTCCAAATGTTTTAAAAATGCATTTGCACAGTAAAGTTCAGTATTATTCTTGCTACTAGTTGGTTTTGAATTACATGTATTGCTTTCTGGACAGATTGGTCTTATTTCATAATTTTGAGAGTCAGTCTTAATGAAGTGTCTGGATGTGCTCTCCATTTGCTGCTTCCCTCTGGCTACAATATTTTAGTGCACATTTTCTTATCAGCCATGCCACCTTCTATTCACTTCTGCTGCCTTTTTTCCTGAGCACAAAGTACTGAATTGTACATGTGTTGTTCTGTCTCAAAGCTTTTCTCCGTGGCTGATGAGTCTGAAAGTGTTGCTGTCAGTTGTCAGTCCTGCTCTGTTGTGATATTGATTGGATGTTTGTTATTTCAGTTGGGTGCAGAGCTTTGGACATGAGGGTCTTGGACTGCTGCTGGACATTTTGGAAAGGTTGCTGTTCAAGAAACAGTAAGTTTATGCATTCAGTCATCCATATTTGTATACAGTTTCGTACCTGTCTCAGTATAATTGTTTATTTAGAAACCTTTGTCCGCATATAACAATGTACAATAACTTTCAAACCCCCCTGCAAACAGTCTTTATGTTGAACATTACAGACCATCAGTTCATCATTACTCTTTTGTTTCCATAGGCAAGAGAAACTTGACAAAAAGAATCAACATAAAGTTGTCCAGTGTCTCAAAGCCGTCATGAACAATAAGGTAAACGAATAAAGATTTTTCTTTCATTTAAATTAAGGTTTAGTCAGTGATTCAGCAAGTGTATTGTCTGTATTTTAAAGTCAGTAAAACAACATTCACCATTTTAACTTTTCAGTGGGGTTTCTTGCGATTTGATAAACCATCATAGACTCATTGAAGAGACAGCTGTGTTGGAAAATGTTAGATTTTTCCTCAAATTAGTATGTCAGTTTTGTCCTTTTACCCTTCGGGATAATCCATCTTGAATAACTTCTCGTATTTGGAGTACACTGTGATCTCTGAGGGTAATTTTAATCTCTTCCACTTCGACATCTGGTGTTTTCATGCAATTACCAAATTAGGCACCTGGGATTACAAAGGGTTTATAACCAGTGGAGGAGAAGAGCAGCATTACTACAATATGAAGCCAATCGAGGGGAGTTTTACTCATGTCCTGATACAATCTGGATGACACAGTGAGACACATGTGCACAGATCTGGGGTAGCTGTCCTTCAAAAAGTCCCTTCTTTGGAGTTAGGCCTTAACAGAGTGAGTGTGTGACCAGGAAAGTTTAAAGGAGAGAAAGAGATGCCTGTGAGAGAACAGGTGAAAAAACCCAACTTGTTTCAAAGTGGAAAAATACTACATTAATAACTTAAAATCACAGAGCACTTTGTCCATGTCTAAGTGTTGTGTGTGAGTATTGCAACACAGTCAAAGCAGTCATTGTACAGTTTCTCAGATTCATTGGAATGCAACATAATATTGCAAAATAGCCTTTGGTTACAGATGTAGTTCCTGAAGTTTAGTGTAGTTACATTAGCTATAGGACTATTTGGTCCATATAAGCCATACTATAGTAAAGACAGGTGGACATAGACAGTCGTCGGGTGACATTAAACAAATGACTTATAGAAGATACAAAATGTAATTTAGAAAATACATAAAAGGAAGGCGGGGCAATAAACCAAAAAGGAACAGAAGCTGATAGTCGGCATCTCTAACAGACCTGATTTAGGTCATGTGATTATGTGTGTGAAGCTGTCATCTGTAGCTTGCTCCTTAATGAACCTGAAAATACAACTTATCAATGTCAGCCACTGAGGAAGCTTTGTTTTCCCACACTGTTATAACTCATTTTGTAATTATTAAGTTACAGTTTGGTTAGGAACGTTTTCTTAATTTTGCCAACAGAATGACAGAAATTATACATGTTGCTCCAATTGTAAAAAAATGGCTTCATAAATAGAGTTGAGGAAGCTTTATTCTACAATGCTCCAGCTTGTCCTCCGTGTGTGTTGTAAGTCCACAGAAGCTAAAAAGAAAAGAAAAAAAACTCTTGCCACATGGAGCTTAAACGCAACGGAGACAGATATACAGGCACTCTGGCGCAAAGTGTGCTGTAAGGTCTCATGTAATCCGGCGTCTCAACAGGCGCCAGACGCCAGCATTTACCCGCAGGCCTCTCTGTCAGCCTAGACCTTTCCCTGGCTAGGGAGGCATCTTGGGATGGGATGTACGCACAATGCCAAGAAGACAGGTGTTCTCTGCCAGCTGTCACTGCAGACTTTTTTTCTTCTGCCTCCCTGCGTCAAGTCACAGAGTTGCATATATTCTATTGTCTGTCACCAATGGCATAATAAAGACATATTAATAATTAGGTTAACACACAGTGAAACTACCCTTTTTAACAATTGAACTTAATCAAGAAAACCATTTCCCCAATTTAGATCAGATATGTTTGCTAAGCTTTACAGTTACTCCAAGTGCATCTAGTGTTCACAGATATCTTTTATTTGTAGGACTTGTTCATACTGACTTCAATAGTTGTCAGTGTTATCACTTCATATACTTTATGCTGTGCTGTATACCGTTTATAAACAACATATTGAAGATTTAGAAGATCTGCTCGGTTTTAGAATAGAGTATAGATAGAAAACTGCTGAAAACAGATTCAGTGCAAATATCAAAAGTATGGTTGAATAGTTTAACCTGAGGTGTCAACTGCTCTTTGCAGCATTGACACAAGGGTCATCCAATTCATCCTTTATGTTTTACTGTGTGAAGCAATGCTAAATATTGGAAATATATGATGATAGACATGAAACAAAAGTGACATACAATTCAACAGAAATTACATTTCTTACTGGCAAATCTATTTTAAAAACTGACTTTACAATCCTTGTTTGGATGACTCTTTAAATGTATAACCCCTCATCACAAGGGAAAGGGAAAAAGCATCACTTTTTGAAGCCTTACTTGGTCAAATAAAGCCCCTTTTCATTGCTATAAAAAAACCTGAATCAAATGTAATGTTTTATTTGTTGATTGAACAATTCAATGATTGCTTTTCTCTTTACAAACACATATTATAAATGAACATGATCTTTCATTGTTCAGCAGTAATTATAGAATTGAATGACGCTTAAAATTGTTTTCATTGTACATTGCTTTTACCACATGCTTGTACTGTATTGACAATTACACTAACAATATTGGTACTTTTAATGATGGTGTCCTTGCTAGAGTGTTTTTCTCTGTGTTGGCTTCAGTATCCAACACACTGCAACACATAACAGAATTATTCTAAATCAGCTTATAAATTACCCTGCCATTTGCACACTAAATTGTGCTGTGCCAATGTGGCATTGCATTACAGATGGAACTAAAATAAAAATGAGTCTTGAGGTAATAGGATTTTGTTTGACTGTTACACAGGAAACTGTGTTCTTGTTGTTGCAAAAGTGGAGAATCACAACCTTTCAGGGTAATCATGTTTTGTCTTTTTTGTTTACTACAGTATGGCCTGGATCGAATCCTGGGGGAAGAGAAGAGTCTTGCGTTATTGGCGAGAGCCATTGATCCCACCCAGTCTGCCATGATGACTGACGTGGTGAAGCTGCTGTCAGCCATCTGCATTGTGGGCGAAGAGAACACGTATGGCCTGGCTTCATTCATTCATTCTGTCAACATATCCATGTCTTACAGCTTTTGTAATGTTCAAAGTCGATATTTTGGATTTTGCAAAAGCAAGACTCTATTGGTTTTGGTGTGATAAGAGCTGTTTATCATTTATTATCACATGGAATCAAAAGGTTTTACAGGGCTTACAATGTTAAGGGTGAAGCATAACAAGACAATCATTTGCAAAGCGTGAACCGCCACATATTCACAGAGTATAATATTTGTATTTGAATAAACTAGGTCTGTCACTCACTCTTAAAAGAACACACCACAACTCTGGTGTCACTATATTGTATATTAACAATGTTTTTACGAGAGTAGTGTCTAGTAAAAATACACAAGATATTGGTGAGGTAATATAGTTTGAGAGATTGAAAGTGATAACAGCATCATATAAGATATAGGAGATATTTTAAGTGTCATTTAAATAGGTATTAAAGTATGCATTTTCAAGTTCACTATAGTATAAAAAGTCCCGGTACAATCAAACTCAAGTCTCCTGGTGTGTTCTATGGTGAAAGTGATGAAATCCCCTGGAAAGGACCATCCACTTTCGTCAAATTGACAATAAAGGGACATTGGATACAGTGGAATAGGAGAGAGCTCATCGGTCAAAATCCCTTTAAATGAATGTATGACTTCATTTTCTCTCAATTGTTCGCTCATGCATTTCATGTTCTCATTTAGTTTGGAAAAGGTCCTTGAAGCCATCACCACAGCAGGAGAATGGCGAGGCATCGAGAGGTTCAGTCCCATTGTGAAGGGACTCCGAGATCGCTCGGTTCAATTACAAGTAAGTGCAAAGTACAAGCTCCGTACAGCCACCGCTCTGCCCCCCTCACATTTCTCTGAAATGAAATATGGAAGGGCTTTGGGAAGTTAACCATTTTAACGTATCAACCTCTCTGTGCTCAGGGGACATACACATGATTGGTTTTGAAAGTATTTTCTTGCCCAAAAGAGTTAAGTTTATACTTGAAGAGTACAACGGCAACATTCAAACACCTATACATTGCAAATATTTGAGTCGTCTCCTTTAATTCACTACCCAGTGCTTGTGAGCTGTTCTTGAAGCAGTTGGTTTATGTGTTGAAGTGTCTCGCATGTTATTCATTTTGCGGATCAAACAAGAAACTGTCAGGTAACAAGTTCAATATTATCCTGTTAATCTTATTTTACCACTTGCAATAATGATCGTAATCATTGGGAAATGGTGTTCCTAATTAAGATAAATATCATCTGTGATTTGTAGTTGCCTTATGTAATTATCTTTAGTGATGACAGTGTTAGCATTTCAGTTACAGCAACATCTAGTTATGATGAGAAAAATGTAAAACAAGCTTTATTTTGAGAACTGTTGCACCAGGAATTAATTCATGGAGGATAAAAAAACAATTACTGCTTAAAGAAAACCAATAACAAGAGAACATAATAAAGCAAACAAAACATCTTTATTTTTTGTATTCATACATAAAGAGGCTATCCCTTTCTCATGTTCCAAAGCTATAATCTTGTAACCTCTGATTCCTCCTAATCCACTTTAAGGTTTGACACATTTCTCCCAGTCTATGCGCATAGTCCGTTTTATCATCTCATGCATTCCCTTGGCATGCAATCCCTTTTTTTTTGGACACAGTGTTTGAGATCTATCATCTCCCTACTGATACATATACTTGAGGTATTGCATATGGGCTGCTTTAAATGAGGGTGGCATTGGTTTCACTCATAATAATGTAATTGATTGTAGTATGTTGTCTGCATTTTTAATTGGTAGCTGTGGGATACGATCATTCATCCAATACCACACACACACACACACACACACACACACACACACACACACACACACACACACACACACACACACACACACACACACACACACAGAGTATAACACATCTAGAATCTATTACCATTTTCTCCTGTGGTTGTCGTATTAGGATGCGATAACCAATGATGTTAAACCTTATTGACAGATGATATATGTCATGCCCCCTGTAGCATTCTCCATAGCTTTTACGTGCAGTTTGATGTAACTACCTTTGACAGGTGCAAAACTTTAGGAATACTCTACGAGGGTGGAAGCAACAGTAAAGGAACAATATTAAAGGAATTGATGCTTTGCTATTACTTTCCCACTTCTGAAACACAGCACAGTTTCTTTTTAACCCCATGCATTATTAAAGCACAATACTGTTATCCTAACCACTGTGGCGCTGCGTGGCCAAAGGCTTTTCTTGGCACTTGACTTCACTGAAGGTCCGTCTGCTGGGAGCCTTTGGCTCTGTGGAAGTGTGTATTTAGACAATGAGTGTAAATACACACAAGAGGGAACTCCAAAATCAAAGATGCCCATATATTCTCTTAAGGTCTAAGTGCCTTCACATATTTGTAATTGATCCCTGCATTATTCCTATTACAAGCTTTGGCTATTGAAGATTATTAAATATACATATTTACATGTACTATGAGCTGGAAACAAATAGACTTAAAATGCTAATGTAGCATCTATATCGTGATGTTTTATGATGTCAAGCATTTCAGTGATCTTTCTTGCCCTCCTTTTGTCCTTTTTATTGATTGTCTGCCTTCAGCAAGTTGATTTGACTTCAAATGAGTTTGTGTACTACTTAAACCGAAGACTATGTGGATTGTAGGAAATCATTCAATTGTTAGGATCTTTAACTACTCCAATTGTATTGTTGACGGCCATTGCACCCCAGTCACAGGTCAAGATAAATGTGTTGTGACACTTTGTAATGCTACCTCTGTATTTCAATATGTGCATATTACTTGGAGGACAGATAATTACTATAATTGAGTACAAAAGTAAAAATAAGTATGCTTTCAATCTGAAAACATCTAAATATCCTGCCTTGGCTCCAGCACTGCCATACCCTCTTTTCACACATGAGTGGATTGCTTCACTGATCAATAATAGATTTTTCTGTCTGTGTTTGCCTGGCAAGTTGAAGAGTCACAGGATGCAGCGGTCCCTGTGCAGTAAACCAAACTCTTAGGGGAGCGAAAAGCAGCTTCCAAAAGAGAGAGTTTGCCCTTAAATTGACTGTTAGTTAGTTTTGTGTGTATGGGTCTGCAGTTGTTGCATTAATATTAAAATCAGCCCCCCTGGTTGGTGACTGGAGAAAATAGACGATGCATTAGTTATGGTCTTCTGCTTCCCAGGGACACAACTCATTTAGAATGCATGCTGGCATGCATTTCATCAACTTCTGGAAAAAAAGCAGTATGTCGTCGCTCTCTGGTTCTCCCTCTCACTATTCTCTCTCTTTTTCTCTCCTCTCCCTTTCTCCTCCCCTCTCTCTCCCTTTGTTGTGTGCACCCCTTATGTTGCAGGTGGCATGCATGCAGCTCATCAACGCACTAGTAACGTCCCCTGATGAGCTGGACCTCAGGCTGCACATCAGAAATGAATTTATGCGCTGTGGCCTGAAAGAGATATTGCCGGTAAGCACAGCACAACTACACAATCGCACACACAAACACACACACGGTATAAACCCACACCTACTGTGTATTAATATTTAAATGAGGTGTCCACTTCAGTGAAATATTGTAGATTTGCTCCAGCAAATAATTTATGAAACACAGAGGAGAGTTTGCACGTCCTTTGTCTGTGCCAGCACCCAGAAACCAATAAAGTTTTGATTGTTAGTGCCTGGGTTATAATATACCCACTGGCTTTTATACCCTCTACCTAACATGTGTATTGTTGTAAACATTGTAGCTGTAGATGCCAAGAAAACAAATACATTAAAGTGAGGCTCTGTCCCCACACCTTTAAATCATGTGTGATAGCATTTTGTATGAGCTCCTTGAATTTACCCGAGCAGACGTCAAAAAGGGTCTCAAGCCCTTCTATTTGATTTATTTAGCTTTATTCTTTGTCTCTCTTACATTTTTTTTTCTTTATCTAATATAATCCATCTGAAGCATCTGACAACCATAAGGAATGAGGCCCTTGACATTCAGCTGAAGGTATTTGAGGAGCACAAAGAAGAGGACATGATGGAGTTCTCCCATCGGCTGGAAGACATCAAGTGCGAGTTGGAATATCCTTTTCATTTTAACAAACACAAAATTCTAATTGAGTGTCCGCTTCTTGGGAGGTTTTCTATAATACAGTACATTTGAAAAGGTCAGGTCATCAAGCTAAGGTCAGCTACTCTTTGTGTTGTAAAATACATAACTTGTTCATTTCTTTTCAGGGGCTTACTTTTTTATGTGAAAATGCAATGTTTCGTTTTACATAAAAGTCCTTGACTCTGTTCACTGATGTGGGTGATGTGTTCAGCATTGTGCAGAGCATGGTGAAGGACAGCAACGCAGAGCCCTATTTTCTATCTATACTGCAGCACCTGATGCTTATTCGCAACGACTACTTGGTCAGGTAAAGATCAGCAGCACACACAAACACACACTACATTAACTATCAAAGTGTTATGAAGCCTTCAGATTTCTCACTTCTTTTTTTTTTGCTCAATCACAGCAGTATGTACCTGTATGTGAGCATGGACTTTGTGTGTTTTTTCTTTTTTTATGTTTAGTTTTCAGTTCTATTCCTTAGCTCTATTGTTATCTTTTTAGACCAGGGATATTTGATGCGTAATAATGACTTATATATAGCATTTTAATATCAAATTTGAGCCAAATTCACACACAAACAAAGGTCTAAGCCACTTTTGAACACTGGTAATGACGCACGCTGGTGAAAAGCTTATGTTTTGTGGAGGTCTCACTCCTTCTGGCTTAAACCCTCTCAATGACATTGGCTAACAAAGAGAATGCCATCTCTTTCATCTCCAGTCCATCTCCAGTAACCATGGCTCCAGAGTATTTCTCATCTCCTATTAAAGTTACTTTTCAAAGGCTTATTTTATGTTGGTTCACTCACAGCTGGATGTGGGTTAAACCTTGGCTTGATCAAAAGATGAGGCTCTTATCTGAAGAATATGAAATGCATCACCTGCAGTTTTTCTCCCACCCAAAAACAACACCCAACATGTCTGGCACTCCGCTCTGGCTCTGTCTAAATAGTTTTTCTTCATTTGCAATTTTATCATGGGGCTTATGACTGCCAGCAATGCTCATTTCTATTTTGTAAGCATAATAACAGCAGCACACACACAAACACACACCACCCTCCCCACGTTCTGTTCTTATTAACCATGGCATGAAAAACAACACAATCAGATTTTTGTTTATTTCGGCAGATAACCATCTGGACCATTATAAAACCAGTTAAACGTTATATTAGATCTGTTTTTTATTTAGTAATGATTACATATTATAATATATTCTCAAATACCGGCTTTCTCCACATTCTCTATTAAAAGCAATACTAGTTTAGGTAGTGTATCCAAAACCAAAAAATACTTAAAAGCAACAATGTTAGAGAATTAATAAAATAATGTTTTTCTGCCTGCCTTAGCATTGTCCAATGAATCGCTGGGCCACTGCGGCTCAGGAGGTAGATTGTCGACCTCCATTCAGTGTTATGTCGACATAACACTGGGCAAGATACTTAACCCCAAATTGCTCCTGATGGCATGGCCAACAGTGAGTGAATGTTAGTGAGGAGGTGGCCTCTTGTATTTAACCTCTGTTTTAATGTGTGGGTGTAGTTTTTGAATGGGTGAATGTGGACTTGTATACGTGAAGAGCTTTGAGGGGTCGCAATGACTGGAGAAGTGCAATATAATATGCAGTCCATTTACCATTTACTAACTACATACAATAGTAACTTCCAAGGCCGTGGAGCATCTCATACTCGTACATGAGGGCTCATTACTTACGTGAAAAATAAAAGTTGTTTGTATGAAAAACACTCTATAACATCTTATTCATCATATTTTCCACTTTCTGGAAGTGGTCCTTGGATGCTTTCAGATTTTGTACATGTACATCCCAGCAATTCTGCCAAAGCCATTAGCCATGATAGCAAGATGGATGTCCGACACATTTGTCAGTCTAATCTAAACTCTGTTGCTGTCCAACTAGGGAACCTTACATGGTTACATTAGAAGGAAACTAAGTCTTATCAAAGCTTTGTAAGTTGTAATAGCCACTATCAGATTGTATGGCCTAAGCTAAGGCAACTATTATATTGATAAAAAGATTGTCCACTTATTGACAACCAATAATTATTATTAGAATTTTAATTTAATTATTTTGGTCTTTTGGACCTCGACAGAAGCTTTGAGTGAAATAGATACACTCGGGTGTATTCATTCACAGCAACATCTTTTAAATTCAATTAGAATAGGAACCATGTTGCCTAACATTCATAACAAATTGAGATTATTGTTAACATGCATAGTTTAATGGCTTAGATGACTGCATATTGTCCATCTCATTCTCATACTTTGTGGTGTAGCTTTACAGACACTTTTTGTGAAGTTGGCTTCAAGTATTTTTCGGAAACATTTGCACATTTTTCTCAGGCAGTTGCCCACCCTTGATTATCTCTGTTGACACACAAGGCATCATTTCTGAATGTGATCCTTTGAATGCACTGCACCACTCCCCACTGACTGATGTAGTGATCATTAGTTATTATATGCTTGGTTTTCTTGATGTCAAAAATATATCGTCCCCTCTTTTCTCAGGGGTCCCAAAGTCACGGCTTAATGAAAGGAACACCCACAGCCTGACTGACAACATGACTTATTCCATTTGATTGTCAATATTTTCATCTTCGTTCAGACAGGGATTATATGGTTCAGCTCAAAGTCATAGGAATGGAATTCAAACATTCAGATCTCTCTTATTTTAAAACAAGGTGGTTTATAAGTTTCAAAGTATTAGTTATTCATTCTGTGTAGAAGGGATTCATACACTCTGAGGCAATGTACTGTAGTAAGATAATGAGCACATGAAACCTCCTTTCCCTCTAACTTGGAAGAGCACTGCGGCTCCCAGCCTTGCATTTCATCTGTTGCATTATTATATATTCTCTCTCTAACTGTGGCATGCCTTGGGTTATTCTGTGATCAACGCATTCGAAAGAAGCCATTTCGAACTATTCACCTGCATATATCGAGCACCTGGTTATACGTTGGTGTTTTCCCATTGTTCAGCACCATCAAAACTGTGTTTATAGTAATATATACGTTTAGTAGTTGTTTTACGCCATATTATAATGACAATAATCAAGAGTGTTGGGCCTTCTTTAATCATTTATAAACGTTAACATTCTGAAATAGAAAACCAATGGAGTGCATATACTGTGTATCTGTTTACTCGGAACACAACCTGTTTTACTATTGCATCCTTTTTTCACCCCTTTCATTTTTAATTTGTTAAAAGTTTCTCAATTTTTTTGCTAGCCATTTCCCTTCCCATTTATCATGTTGTCATATCTTTCCTAATAGCTGGGGAGTGGTGGGAATTGGGGATTTGGTTTTACAGAAAGGTGTGTGAGAATTCTGGATACTCCTGATTCTTGTGTCAACAGCGATAATGATGTTGTTTAGCATGTACAATCAATTGTGTCAGATGGTTTCAAATTGCACCTGTTATATGAACATCAGGCTATGAATTGACTCACCGATGCACCATGATGGTAAGAGGTTCTGACTTGGAGCCTCCTGTTATGTTTTAATCTCTGATAGCTTTTACGCAACACCCGATTAGTTTCACAACATTTCCCACACCTTTTCACTTACCGTACTTAACTGCACTTCACTTCCTCTCCCACCCATAACTGTCCAGTTAACAGCAAATGAATGTGAAATGAATACATCAACTTTAAAAATGAATTGAAAATAATGAAATAAAGTGATTTTCTTTCATTCTGTGTTTTTCTCATTGTCTCTCTTCACTCTTATCTCTCTTGTTCCTGACACTCAGGCCCCAGTACTTTAAGATCATTGAGGAGTGTGTGTCTCAGGTTGTGCTCCACCGCAGTGGCACTGACCCCGACTTTGGTTACCGCAAGCGCCTCGATGTGGACTTCAGTCACCTCTTAGGTAAGTCCCAAACTTGTGCCAGTCTCTTTACATAACGTGCATTTCATTTTTTAATTATTTTTATTAAGTGATATAGGAATTACAAGACGAGTGCATATAAGTACAGTGTCACATATAGACAAATAACAAATTACACGATATACATGGAGACAAAAAAAGAAAAGAAAAACAGAGTGTGTGTGTTTGTCTCTGTGTGCGTTTGATGGATTAGACAAAAAGATAGTAATAAATGACAACATTATAATTCAAATGATATGAGTAACAATACAATAGTCATGTATCCTGGGGGGGGGGGCATGTAAATAGTAGCATGACCTTAAAGAAGTAGAAAGGGATGGTGGCTGAAATCGGATAGAGGATTATGAATTAAATGTGTCAAACATAACGGGTATTTCAAAACAACATACACATTTTAATTTCATTTTTGTGTTTTCAGATGTGTGTGTAGATAAAGCTCGATCTGATGAGTACGAACAAAGAGCTTCAGAACTGGCACAGAAGGCAAGTATTTACAAAGAAAACCACTTAGATGTTGAACCCACTACATATCTACTACACCACCTGGCCAAAACAAAGCCCAATTAGGCCTGCACATATTTATTCTAATTTGTTTTTAAAAAAACAGCATCTGTTTTTACTGTGAAGTAAACGTGACCATGGCAACCTCGTGGGGGCTTGTGTTATAAGCTGCTGCATACTAGTACACTTCTAGTCATCACTTAGCAGAAAATGAATTGTAATTGCTATCGGATTCCTTTCTAAAAACAGTGAGCATTACAGAATAAGACATAATACTGGAAAATAATAAACACTGACTTATGATCTTAACATTTTAAAATGCAGGAAACCAAACACTCTTGAAATGCAAGTTAAACTGTTTTTGTTTTCAGTCAAAGGATTTGCTCTAGATTTTTCAGTTATAGAATAGTTTGTTGCAGAACCTGTACTTCCCCTATCAATGTAGCAAAACAACCTTTTCCTTTTTTCCTTTTGGTCAGACAAAAACATGCTTACTTACTTACCTTTTTTAGGTTTTGTTTCTTACCTTTACATACTTCAAAAGGTTTCTATAAATGAACGAGTAATAGACAAAAGGTTGAATTTCAATCCGTAAATGAAGGTAATCAAGGTAACATGAATGTCGATTATATAAAACGAGTACATCCTTTAACTTAAACACTTTTAATGAGTACTGCTTATGTTAATTCCTAGTTTCATTAATATCAGCTCCTTCGTGTGACTTATCTGGATATCCGTTTCTCTTTTCAGTTTGACGAGGAGTTTCTAAACAGACAGGAGTCACAAGCTCAGCTGGTTCAGTGTAATGATAAAATAGCTGAACTCCAAGCGGAGCTGCTGGCCTTCCGCTCTCAGGTACATTTCTTTTATTATATCTTTTCAATGTCATTCTTTCATTTCAAATCCCCCTTAAATCTACTATAGAATTGCGATTAAACTTTCTTTTCTTACTTTCCTTTATGAGATGTTCTTGTTATTTTGGGGTTTGTGGTGGGGGCGGTAGTTTTATCCACTGGAGCCTGCAGTTTGAGTTGACATGAAGGCTCTACGGGCCCGTCGAAACTAAGTCTAATGAGAATACTGACCAGTCCTCGATGTTGGCCATTTCTGATTCTCTGATCTTTATCCCATAAGGGGAAATTGTTCTAAAAGCAATTTATTCTGACAACTCCCTTCAACCTCACTACTGGGCCTCTCTCCTACCCGCCAACACCCCAGAGAGTTGCTCCTACGCCCTGGCACTGCAAGATAACTCCACGCTTTGAGAAAAGAAGAGAACTTCCTTTTTATTTTCCTGATAATTTTTCAATTTGAGTGACCAAACACAGAATGAATACTCAAATAGCACCTAGGCACAATATACGAGCGGTACATCTAGCCAATGCGAACACACACACACACACACACACACACACACACACACACACACACACACACACACACACACACACACACACACACACACACACACACACACACACACACACACACACACACACACACACACACACACACACACACACACACACAGTTTGTCTGTCATTGTCAGTCTTACTCTCACCAGCACACACACTCACACACTTGTGAATTCAGAAAAGGAGTTCTTCCCTCTAGAGGCGGTGGCAGAGTAAGGGCCCAGGGCTGACCTTTAGTGTAATCTAAAACTGGTGCATGGATCAATAAGCCATTTGCTCCCTATGATACAATTTACGAAACTTTGTAGCCCCGGTTATAACATTTGATTTTCTGGCTTTGGGAAAAAAACAAATCATGGTTGGTAAGTTCTGGACAGAGTCTGGATCGTTTACGAGCATTTGGCCTGTGCTGGATGGTTGAGAGAACACGCCTCTGTTATCCGCACCACAGTGGTGTTAGCGAGGACTCTTTACTGTGCTGTTGTAGTTTCTAGTTAGTCTGCTTCCATTTTTTTCTCCCCAGTTTCAATCCTATTCCCTGTTTTTACCTCGCACTGTGGATTCACCTTTTATTTTATTGATCTGGGGAAGGGTTTCTTGAGCACTGCTCCACACTGCAAACAAATCCATGGTAACCACCACAAATATTTTGTAATGAAATAATATGAGCAGGAATCAATAAAAAGAAAATCTTTCTATGAGGCAAGCAAATTAAAATTGACCTTCCAACTAATTAAAAAAACTATATTCAAGCCTATTTAGCTTTGTAAATGCTGTGAAAATGAGCATATATTTGGTGTTTATGTTCCCACATACTTTCTCTTCCTTTAGTTTGGGGCTGTACCGGTGGGTCTGTCCCCCCCCCATGTTGGACAAGCATCATCTTCCTCAGCCCTTCAGTCTGGGGCTCCGTCGCCTGCTCCAGCATCTGGGGCACCACCTCCCCCTCCGCCGCCTCCTCCGCCTCCTTTACCTGGATGCCCTCCCCCACCTCCCCCACCTGGAATGCCTCCTCCATTTGGTGCCCCCCCTCCACCCCCTCTAGGGTTTGGGGGTGGTCTAGGCTCCCCCACTCACCGTGCGCTGCCTTATGGCCTCAGGCCCAAGAAGGATTTCAAGCCTGAGACCTCCATGAAGCGCCTCAACTGGTCTAAGGTAACACTGCAGGGTGCTTTTAATATTTAACCACCCCTATTTTTATACAATGCAGTCTGTTATACCACTAACTAAAGCCTCAAATACTTTGGAGTCAAATCGATTTAAAAAATGTTGTATTTATCAGAAGATTCATGATGCTGACGGAGAATAGTATCAAAACTAAGTGAAAGAGAAATGTAAAGTCTTTAAGAAAAAATGTATTAAAGAAAAGCTGACAAAAATAGGATTATTGGGTATGTACTTCAAAAGGCACCCAAAATGAAATCTTAAAATATTTTATTTTATTAGATTTTTCTAATCTTTCTAAACCTAGATGAAATTAGAGCTGCAACATTTAGCCATTTTAACCTCTCAGCCTTCCAAATATGGACACTTCCTGCACTGCTTTACATCATACATTTTGACACAAATCAACACTTCACTCAAAAAGTAAAGAAAAAAAATAACTCTCAGATGTTTTATTTATCCGTAGGCTATTTTATCATATTGGACTCCAGTACATTTAGGACATGTGTTTTCTAACTGAACACCGGCGTTACAGATATCTATTATGAGTGAACTTCAGTATAATAAGAGATATTACAGACTGTGCTGAATTATGCTTAACAAAAAGTTTGCAACAAGAAACGGAGAATTTAGGCCAGGTATTTATAGGGGCCCTTTTCTCTGCTCTTTGTTCCTTTGTTACTGATTTTCTTTGGCAGAGCCTGAACAGTACAGATGTTTTTCTAAGAACTAAATAACAAGTTTCTTCCTCGCTGCCAAGAAAGTGATAATTGAAAATAACAGATGATCAGATGCTGTTTTCAGAGCAGCCTTAGTGCTACCTCTACAGATGTTGTTCTCTGCAGTGCAATATTAGTACACATCACTAGTGATATACAATTGTGATTTGATTAATAATTCAATATCAGATGTACAGGTGTTCGGCAAACTAAACCATATGCTTGTAATTTCAAAGTGACATGAAAATGACCTGTTCTATGGCACAGCTGTATGAGACTCCCACATATGTTTAGGTTTGAGACAATGCTGTTCAGAAACTTCTTAAGTATTAAGACTTCAAACTTTCAACTCTATTAGGAGCTCAGCAAGTTTTGGAAGGGAGCAACTATCATTTATGATGAAAGACCAGTGACAAAACTGCTTTTGGCACAAAACTCGATGATTCAAATTTTAATACCGTCTTATCTTGACTATTGCCCAGCAGTAATAGGTTGGCGACACTTATGTACTACTTTGAGTTTTAACCACATTTTAGGGATTATTAAATTGTCAGGAGCTTATCTGTACTGTATGTATATATGGCCTATATCTTTAAAATGTACCCAGTATCTGATTTCAAATGATGGCTTTCCATTATATTCACTTTTACTGCTGTAGACTGTATAATCTGAAATACTTTTAGTATCCACAAGTTACTCAATGATCTGAACCGTGTGGATGTTTGTTTTCAGATTCGTCCCCAGGAAATGTCAGAGAGCTGTTTCTGGGTGCGGGCTGATGAAAACCAATTTGCGAAACCAGAATTACTTCGCAGAGTTGCTCTCACTTTTGGTTCACAAAGAACAGGTCAGAGTCTTCATTTATTAAATGTCCCTCTGTCTGACTGCTGCTCTTGTATTTTGAGTCAATTTGGTTTTGTGTTTTAACTTATAATTGCAACACATTTCTAAAGCAAAGAGCAAAGAACTTTACTTTTACAGAAACCTTTGAGGACATTTCCAAATCCTTTTTTCCCCTACATATATTTGTGTGACTCTTCACACAAGACTCCTCTTCACTTTCTCTTCTGTATAACTCTGACAAACTTTCCGGGTCAAATGTGTTGCTATGAAAGAAAATGGCAGGGTTTCTCATTTGAGATGTAATGGTAAAACAAGGAAGAACAATGTGAGAGCAATGTGGAATTGCATGACAGAGATACAGGCAAGTCTGTGAGAGTGTTTAGCTACCCTCTAGAAAACAGTGTTTATTTAATATCCCTTTGAGTGAATGGATCGTGAGTTATGCATGGCAGAAGTCATCACTTACTTTGTATATTTGGAGTTGGTCCAATTTCAGTGAGCTTAGTGTACAGTAGGTGGAGGTCTTATTAAGCTAAATTAAATGCTGGATTAATTTGAAAGAAGCCTTGGCTAATAACGTCCCCGATGTGTTATTTACATTTTCCGGTGGGACGGATTAAACAAAATATTATTAAAAGCATCACTGCATGATCTCAACAGCAATGTTATATTTTACTAGTATTTAAAACTATGCGCTGGAAAGTACAACTCATGAACTCATCAATTCATTCAATGAATTTCATTGAGTAATATTGGGGCAGTTAAACATATGAAATATGAACGTTCTATCCTTTTATCTATGAATTTAGTCATAAATAGCCGAATATAGTTTTTCAGCACTGGCAAATGAACTCAAACAGATCATGCTTTAACTTTTTTGCCGCTTCATACAATGGGAACATTTGCACAGTATGAATGTTTCCATGGCTTATGAGTGTTTCTCATTGATAACCTACAGTCTGGGTTGGCCCACCACAGTTTCACAAAGAACTATATAACACATCTCAGTGGGTGGGGTCTGCATCCGTCCGGGGATACAATCAGCGGGTTAGAGACGGGCGCTTTGTGCGGGAGGATTCTCTCCCTGGTGAGCATTTTTGCACGCAGTGGTGCGCTGACAGTGAGCTTTACAGCAGCCCTCCCCCGGACTTCCCAGCTTCCCTAGAGCTAGACATATTGCTCGCTGCCCTCTCTCACTGCGTAGGAGAGGCGGCAGAACCCATGGCATAATTGTCAACCAGGTTAGAATGTGCAAAGGGTCTGGGGCGAGGTCTGAGACCCACCCGCCTGCTTTGTAGCTGTTACTTTTTCTGCCATATCGTTAATCATCACCATTCATATCCAAACAACCAATGAGTACAGCATTTAATGTTGGCTAGAGCATGACATTTATTTATCAACTTTTTCATATTGCAGTATACAGTATATTGCAGGCAAAAATGTGCAATGTCTTTGTCATGATATCAAGCAATCCTAGTGGTAATACGTTTATGTGGAGAAGTGTTGAACAACAGTCGTGACATAACAGCCTACTCTATCTGAATAGACTACATATGTATGTCTCACATCTCAGGTCTGACGTCCCCCTTCTTAGCAGTTTAAGTTATCTCTCTTACATTTGAGTAGGCTATATCCCCGGTGGTATTGCTCCATGATAAGACACCATACAGTTACATTCTCACTCATTAGTATGTCTGGCAAGATGTGTAATATTCATGTACAAGGTTGTTGGAATGATTAAAGCTCCAGCAGGAGATAGCATGAGATGTTATCAGTCTTGTCCTCTCCTGTGCGGGGTCTATTAGTCCCTTCTCTGATGATTTATTCACATGTCTTGTGTTTTCTTCCTTGTCTTGTCACTGACTCGGCTTACTTATGCCAATTTGAATTATTCATCCAGGTGTTATCTCCCTGTCACAACTCTATGCTGGTCCTCTCAAGGCGCAAAAGTCCCCCCCCACACAAGCCAGTACACCCTTGTTTCCTACCGTCAAGGCGTTGAATAATGGAGGCAATCTAAATGGCAAACAGGTAGACAGTGAGACAGTCAAGCAGGTGTTCTCCGGAGAGGACAAAGGAAGGATGTCCGCCAGCACACAACTGTATTTCTCTGTAGGGGTAATGACCTAGATCCTGCATATGTTTGCACACAGCATTTTGTTTTACAGTAATCATGAAACGTATCATCATAAACAAAGAGTCACAGAAAAGCCCTTCTGTACAGGAGAATGCTAGCCGTCTAGTTTGTTATTGCTCATGGGTAATGCATTTTAGATTTGCACAGACAAAACATGAAACATTTGTCTAAATCCGACTTTTTCTCAAGGTTTGAATCCATCCACGTAGTTTTGTTCCTCCCTGATCCCCCCCCGTCCCAGAGGAGGTTGTACAGCAGCATGACTGCTTGCCTCAGCCTTTGAACCCGGTTGCTACTATTGCTGTGTGTGAGTGAGAGTGCATGTATGTATACGTGCATGTGTACTTGTCCTCTTATTAACTCAGCCATGTAGCAACATGTTTCATCTCACTTAAGAGCAGAAGCATCTGGATCAGCATTAAACATTAAAAAGGACACGGTATGAAACAGCATTCACTCAGTTTTTCCTCTTAAATATTCATTAATATCCCTTGAAACGTCCGTATTCTTTCGTGATGGTTGTGCCTCACGCTCCTGTTTTATAAGAGGATCCCTTCCTTCCTGTACACACCGGCTGAGTTTGGATGGGGATTTGTTGAACAGTTTATTTTGAAGCCATCACTGGTGCATTCTGTCAGGCTGCAAATTGACCAAGTGTTAATAAAAATACTGTGGTTTTATTTATTTTTGTTATTCAAAAAATGTTGAAAGAAACCTGGAACTCCACATTTAATTAGAATTTATATTACTGCACTTGAAAACTAATTTGTTATTTGTTATTTGTTATTATCCATTTGGGCTCCTCTGTTTATCTATTCAGAGTGGGATGTTGGTATTTGGACACTTTAACGCATCCCCTCAGTGAGCAAATTGCAATAAATGGTTGTTTTTACTTCGGGCAGCAGGTCAGACTAAATTTAATTAGACCACCAAGCTGAATAATATGAATTTATTTTCTGTGCTTGTCTCTCAAGTCCCTGCTCTTTAGCTGTATATTTTGATGCAAATGTGCTGTCGTAATCAATACACTTCAATGGAACATTTCAATTAAGGACAAAACATTGAGACGCAGACTTTTGAATGTTTATCAGTTTGTGTGTTTTCAGTCAAATAGAGCAATTGCAGAGTTGCTTTAAGCACCGGAGAAGCAAAAGCCAATTTTGAGAGGAGGATACATTTGCAACCTAGAATGGACTTTATAATGTCTGCTGGTGGATGTTGAATTATCATGTAAGCATTTGAACAGTTGCTTTTCATTTGGGTTTTAACTGGGTACTCTCATTCTCTTTGCTTGCCTTTTAGCTTTTACACTATAAGTAACACATCTCTTCCATACCAGGTGTCTTTTCTTTGGCAAATATTTTGCATGGTTGTTCTAAAAACGTGTATCTTAATGATGTTTTTCCCAATGCTTTGAGGTGAAAAACAACTGATGGGCAAGATCAGTTCCTTTTTATTGAATTGGCTGAAACAACACTTAACTTGGGCCTCAAAAAAAGAGAAGAACAGATCAATCGATTGTGTCCCTAAATTGCTTTTCAAGTCCAAGTCAGCAAAAAAATAGAGAATGTCAGGTAATTTTAATTCAAGCTCTTTTCTTTATTTCTTTCGTTTTTTCTTGTCTGTTTTTGGTCAATTTTTTTCAGCATCTCCTTGCTTGGTTTCACCTTTAAAGTAATTGCGTCCTTACAACAAATGTATCACCTTGACACAGACTTGTCCTCTTTCAACTTCTATTAGATGGTTTTCTTCCATCCTACCTCAAACTTTTGTACTGCCTGGCATTCAACACTTAAGAGTTGATGAGCCTTTGTAATTTGTTATCAGGCTGAGGAAGCACTTCTGTTCAGCAGTTGAGGTCAACTCAATGTTCTCTACTAAAGCAATATCCTCTAGACAGGAAAGCTCCTCAAAGTAGTAGTACTAGTAGCTGCAGTAGTAGTTTCTCTCGCTAGCTTCGTATTGTGTCTCTTTTATAGCCAAACAGGATAACCTCAGAGCTTCACTTCAACTCAAATCATTCCACTGAATTGTGAGCTTGGATTCAATAGTGATTTATTTTTTTAATCAGTCAATTCCTTCGGTTTTTCTACCTATTTACAATGTGAGGGCATCTATATGCAACTCGCATTAAAGTAAGTATTCACTATAAACAATTTATTTCAGTTGGCTCAAATGACCTTTATACATTAACAATGGTAAACAAAAATTAAATGAACACAAGAAAAGGAATCTCAAATGTAAACAACAATTTGATGCCCGTTTACTTTAGAAACTGCAAAGGTAGATGTACAGTACTATGACTCATGAAAGCACCTATCATTTTAGTTGATTAGTTCATTTAGTGCTGTTTGAAAAGTATGCAGTAGATAATATTGCAATGTTTAAAAGACCTAATCATTGCATTTGAACAGATATGGTTATTAAGCCGACACTAAAGCTGAAACACAGTGGGTTATAACTTGTTTGTTTTACTTGATCATACTTTAACATTATTATGTTGCTTTATTAATGCAGACAATGCTATGCAGGGGTAGACATTTAAGGGTCAAATTCCACTGGCCCAAGAGCATTCGTCCAAAAAATCGACTAATAATGAAGAAAATGAACACATTTGTTGCAATAGTAGTTTATGCACAAACTACATTACTACTTGTACTACAACATTTGAATCATCAGTTCTTCCTTATTTTCCTCAATTGTTCATATTTGGTTTATTAAAATAATTATATTGTGGTCATTGTTAAAAAATGTCTGCTATTATCATTATTATGAGTATTATTATTTGTATAATGTGCTTTCTGCCTTCCTGTCATTAGGAGTTAGAAATGTAATGGCTATGTAATAGATTAGATTAGAACCTTCAT